TTTTTTTTTTTTTTTAACTCAGTTTCTACCTTGCTTCCTTTTCAACCTGTTCTCTGGGAACATTCCCCCATTCAGTGTCTGGTTTCCAATTCTCTTTACATCAGTTTCAGGGACTTCATCTCATCATAGTTTCAACTTCCCTTTAATAGGTTACTTTAAAATCTGCATATCTAGATGTAACTGTTACCTATTCCGCCAGTCTGTCACTTAAATGGCCTCTCCGATATGCACAACTTTAATGTTGGAAATGGAACCTATTCCACTCTTCTAATCTGTACAAACTATCTTATTCTCATCAGTCTCCATATTACCAGCTGCTGTGTTCTCTATCTGCAAAATATAAAACTTTAGAATCATCTCTGGCCTGGTCTCTTGATACATAAGTATTCTTTTTGCTCTGCCATGCTGCCTCTCATCATTATGTAACTTGATCTCTAATGTCTTAGCACTTTAATTAGTTCCTCGAGGGCAACAACCACATATTATGTGTCTAGTTTACAAGATTTTTTTTTTTCTGATACAGAGTTTTGCTCAGTTACCCAGGCTGGAGTGTAGTGCATGATCTGAGCTCACTGCAACCTTGAACCATCCTGGGTTCAAGCGATTCTTGTGCCTCAGCCTCCCGAGTAGCTGGGATTACAGCCGTGTGTCACCATGCCTGGCTATACAAGAGATTTTTGTATCAAAAGTTGATTTATAAGTTGTTATTTGGCATTTATCATGATTTTTGTTTGCTTCAGACATGTATAGCTTGGGATTCAACTGGGCTAACCCATGATACAAATTAGAGAAAAAGGAGCAAAATAGCTATTGGCCACCTGGGATTACTGGTATCTCAGATACACCTCCTACCCTCTGGAGAGCTTCCTGTGTGATATAATCCAGCCATGCCAACACCTACCATAGTATTGTGAACACAATAGATGTTTTCATGCCAGTAAAGTTAACAAAACCCACTGCTTATTTTCTTCCATAAATAAGTACTTTGAAATCATTCTCAAAAGTCATGGCACAGCATAATCAGGCAACTTGGTAACCATAAAGATATTCTTAAAAGTGATAAATGAGTTTTGTATTTATTTGAGAAATCTTAAGACATTCAAATGCCTATGCCTGAAAGTGGTCATATTCCTCATGTAGAAGTATATCTAGGAGTAACAGTTACCCTTCTCTTGACAGACAGAAATATAGGTGATTAACAAGAATCAGGAAAACAGAGGGATTTATCCTTAAAGATTTTCTGCAGATTCTGTTTGTACTTTGAAAGTTATCAGTTACTATTAAAATATAATTTAATAAAGTAAATGTAGACATGACTCTTGCAACTTCTTTAATCCTTTCAGAATATGGCATTTCAGGCTGAACAAAAAATAAAAGCAGATATTTTACGAAGCTTGAGTACTGAACAGCTATTCCGGTTATTATCAGATTCAGATTTGAATGTGCTGATGAAGACATTGGGACTTCTTAGAAATCTCCTCTCTACTCGTCCTGTAAGTAAAATCACCCAGGCTCCCAAATTAGCTAGCCCTGCATATGCATTGCAAGACATTGCTCTCTCTCTCTCTCTGCCCTCATTAACATCTGCCCAAAAGTGTGATTCAAATGCTACCCTCTTCCAAAGAAACAAGGAGTTGATGTCTAGACCTGTCGCTTTTATAGGTGTTCTGGGAGCTGCTTCACCATATCACCCCCTACTCTCCACTTCTATACTGCTTATCCTGTCTCCCTCTACTCCCTGGAACAGAGGAAAACATGACCAGTGCCTACCTTGATTTGTTACTTTTTTCTGACCTGGTTTGCTGTCCAGGATGGATTTTCTCATCTGCCTAAATCACTTATGTCTGGGTCCTCTGCTTCTTTCCCTTCAGAGAATTCTCAGAGCCATTCCATAGACCATCTCCCTACCCACATTTACAGGATTGATCTCTGAAGATGTCAGTATAGAAAGCAGTGGATACATGTCAGAGTAGGAGAGGCTTAGCCTTGCTGGTGGGGTCCCTCTCGATGTTTTCTAACGTTCCCCAAGAAGCAATATAAGTAGCCTTAAGGTAGATGAGGAAATATGGGTGCTTCCCTTCTCTGTGCCCCATTTGTCTTTTAAGTCATCATTATGCATTTATGCCCCAAGATAATATTAGGAAATCTATACCATATTTTCCATGTCTCTGGCTTCTCCTATTACCCCAGTCCATCCAATTTTTTTATGCTTCCTTTTTTTTTTTTTTTTTTTTTTT